ATAACTAAACACCAAAATAAATTTAAATTACAATTACAACACAATACAATTTAGTACAGCCACAGCTACAATCACAATTACAATCAAAATACTTCAAAGTAATCTCAAACACACCCTAAGTTTTCAAAATTAAAATTAATAAAAAAAAGCAGATCCCAAATTCCTATTTAATTACTAAAATGATATGATATATAATATTATAAATTTATAATATAATATATTCGTTTATTATTTTCACTCAATTCACATGACATCGTTGTTAGTTTACAATTCTATTTTATATTTTAAATATAGAATTACCGAATAAACAAAACAGATTATGGAAAATTGAACTTTTGCAGGGCTTGATTGGTATATATAAGTGGTTGAAGCTATGAATATCAGGGGAAATAAATTTGAGAGGTTAGCCTCTTTAAGCATTAATTTTAAGTTCTATTTAATTGCGCCGAAGTTTGAATATTAAACTTTTTTTTTTTTGGCTTAATTTTTCATTTGGCAACTTCTAATCATCGCATCAGTTGTGAAATTAAATGTTTTGCTTTCTGAAATTCTTTTCTTCCACCTAGGTTTGAATCAGATAAATCTTTAATTGGGCGTTATGCTGATGCAATTTTTCCGAGAAAAGTTAGAAACTCACTGGCTTCTGTCATGGAAAGTGTGCGGAGAGGGATTGAGATGGGTTCTGAAAGGATCCAAAGCTTCAGAAAACCTATGAACTTACAGCCTCCCCGTAACAAGTCAGAAAAAGATTCAGGTCTTCGGAAGAAAATTCTTGATCCACAGGGATCTTTCCTTGAAAACTGGAATAAAATATTTCTCCTAGCCTGTATAATTGCTTTGGCACTGGACCCTCTCTTCTTCTACATCCCAGTGGTTGTGAATAGAGACAAGCGAAAAATCCTCGACCTGGATGAAAATCTGGAAAAAATTGCGTGTGTCCTTCGTACATTCATGGATGCCTTCTATATAATTCACATGATCTTTCAATTCCGAACTGGGTTCATTGCCGCT